GAGACAGGGTCTCACTATGTAGTTGAGACTGACCTGGAACTCACTATGTAGACCAGGCTGGTCTCAATCTCACAGCGATCCTCCTGCCTCAGCCTCCCGAGTGCTGGAATTACAGGCATGTGCCATGCCGCCCGGCTTTTCTGCTTTTTAAAATCAGCATTCAGGTCTTAACAGCTCTCACTAGAATCAACCACTAAGCTCTGCAGCATTACAGATTTTTCTACACTACACTTCTTCGAACTTTTCCAAACTCATTTCATAAATGAATTTCAAAGACTGAACACATTATCAAGCACAGTCACAGCAACAACTTCACTCTTGGACCAATCTTCAGTACCAGCTTTCTATCACTATTACAAAATACCAAGACAACCAAAGATTTATTTTGGTTCCACCATGTAAATTTGCAATCACTTGGCCCTGTGGCTTTGGGCCTTTGCTGTACATCATGGCAACATATGGTGGAAGATAACTATTTACCTCATGGTGACTAGGAAGTAAAAACAGAAACAAGAGGGTGCTGGGGCTCCCAAACCCTCTTCAATGGTAATGGTCTAGCTTCTTTCTTTTAAGCTCTATCTACCAAAGGCTCTACCATCTTCCATTAAGCGCTATGGGGTGGGGACCAAGCATTCAACATTCAATATCCAAGCTGCTGGTGCTATCCAACTGGTTATGTAGCCCTACCCAAAAACACAGATCATACAAAGTACAATCCTATCAGGTGCTTCTGAGGAGAAATACCTGAATACCAATAACTGCTACACATCCACTCTGTCAACAAATATTTAACATGTGTTTAAGACAAAATCAGGAAGGTAATACTCCTCAGAAAGCTCTTGAAAGCAAATGTTAAGAGGGCCGGGGATTTAGCTCAGTGGCACTGCGCTGACCTTGTTACTGCAAGGTTCTGAGTTCATTCCCCAGGATTGCCACCAAACAAACAAAAACCCTCAAATGTTAGGATATGAAGCAATCAGAGTTTTCGTACACTGCTGAAACAAATATACAATGGTATAAACCACTTTAAACATACATATTTTTCTTGAATAAGTAACTATTAGTGAAACTGATGGATTGTATGGTAAGCACATATTTAATCTTATAAGAAACAGTCAAACTATTTTCCAGACTTACATAGAACGGTTCACAGCAGCTTTATTCCTAACAGCAAAACCCTGGAAACAACCCCATATATCCATCAGTAGATGAATAAATACTGGTGTATCCGTATCACACAAATGACTCGGCCGAACATTCAAACTTTAGCATTCTGTTTTGTCTACTGCGTTTTGTTTTCAGTCATGTTTAATCCCAAGATTCTTAATCTCTAATTCACACAGCATCTCTTTTTTTATTCTAGTAATGCAACCCACATTCATACTTGAGAATATAGTCATAAAACTTGTCTTAGTCCTTTCGTTTTTCCATAGTAGCCATTTGGTTAGCCTGGTTGGCCGCTCTAAGTAGCTCTTGATTTCTTATGTCTAGAGACTGGTATTTAACTTTTATCTTGGTACAGGACTCACTTAAACCATGTCACTAGATATATTACTTCAGGGATTGACAGTCTGGTTTTAGGGGTCAGCCTACATCCCTCAGTCCACTGACAGTGGACAAACAGAATTCTTTTCACTGTGGCCTGGTGGGGCATGAACCATCAAGCTTAATTCTGTCAAAAGAGGATTATCCCAGGGAAGAATGGGTGAAGGTTTGGCTAATGGGTAAGTAGGAGACAATGAACAAGTTGGAGCAGAACTCTACACAGCTCTTGGAAGGAGACACTGTAATAAAACCCGCAGTTCTGTGTATGTAGGCTCCTGGCATCTCAACTGTGTCATACATGCTATGGTCGTGAGAAAGCTCAAGCTGTATGCTCAGACTGCCAATTTCAGTGTTTCCCTAAATCCTTGAAATACACTAACATGCACATTATTTGTTGAATAAACTATAAAACCTAGAAGTGAGATCCATTCTACTCTCATTTAAAAAAAATGCTAAGTCCTAACCGTATGAAAGTAGGTGAGTATTCAACAGTTGTGTCACTATACCTTAAGTGTAAAAATTCCAACTATTTCCCTAAAAGCTTAGTTTTCGAACTTAAGACTTACACCCAGATAACGTGTCTCTTGATGACAATCATACCCACCTATGAAATCTCACCCAAAAGAAGAAAAAAAATCTGGTCATTCTTTAAATTTTACTACCAATTCACAGAAAATAAAGTTAGGCTATGTCATGAGGTTACCTCAACAAAATGAATCAGAAACATTTCAGTACAAACAACTCAGTTTTAACAGAAATTGTAAACAGTAAACTACTGTGGTGGGGGGGTGCAGATGAAAGATTGAGGGAACATACACACACTTAAAAGCTAGTTAAGAGGTACACATATAATTTCAGCACTCCCGAGGCTGAGGCAGGAGGGTTGCTGCAAGTTGAAGGCAAGACTGAACTACATAGTTAGACCCTATCTCAAAAGACTTAAGAAATACCAATTAATCACAATGTGAAGTCTTTATTTGGATCCCGATTCAGATAAAAACACCCACTTATGATATTTAAGGGAAATCCAGAGCATTTGTTAAGAGATTTCATGATATAAGAAATTCATGTGACAACATTGCTGTGGTTATGTTTTTGAATGTCCCTATTTCCTACATACCTACTGAAATATGTATGTAAAAATACTTCACTTTTAAAAACTTAACAGTTAACAAACAATAAAAAATTTTAGTTTTAGGCCATTCTTGCCAGTTGCATTTACCCTTCTTCCCTGGTTCATTCTGTTACGGCAGAGGCAGAATTAATACACAGTGTAACTCTGAGAATCACTTATTTTGCAAACAATAGTAGAACTAAACAACTTCAAAGAGCTGAAACTAGGAAATTATTTCCCATTCTTCATTCAATGCTGCAGCATCGTTTCAAACCAATGCTACAGGGAATAAAACCCTGGATAATACGTCCTGTGATTCCTTTCAATCTAAAAAGATCCTAATTAAATGATTCTTCACAATAAAAATGACTCTTGACTTCTTTTAAGGCTTTTTTATAGACTAGTGGTGATGAACCTATGGCACGTATGTTGCAGCAGATTGCCATCACTGTTACAGACAATAAAAGGTCATTGTATTAAGGGTTACTTCTCAACGTTGGAATCATTTTCACAGTCTAAACTAATGTTGTATCTCACAGAATCTGATTTTGAATTTAACCACATGTAGGGAAGGCAATGGACGTAGTTTGCTACATTTGCAAGGGTGATAACCTATACAAAACAGAAGACCGTCAAGCTTGTGGTGCAGACTGAGCTAAAACGTACACATGACTATAATTCAGTAAACAATGGCAAGATAAATGGTCAGTTAGCTTTGAAACTAGGGGTTACAAAGACTTGACCACATTAAAATTTACTGATTAAAAAATAGGAGTGCAACAGAGTGATGTCTTAAAATGTTCCCATGTCTTAAATAAGCAGCAACCCTCACACAGAAAGGAAACATGAAGTTACAGATAAAAGAACATTCACTAAGTTCTTTCAAATTTCTGCATTCTATAGAATGAAACCTTCTTTTAAAACTCAAGTTGAGGGGCTGGAGATTTAGCTCAGTGGTTCGGAGGCCTGCCTAGCAAGCGCAAGGACCAGAGTTCAGTCCCCAGTACCAAAAAAAACACCAAAAACAAAACTCAAACTGAGGATGAAATCTGTCCTTAGTAAGACCTCATTTCATATAATGAAATTCATTCTGTAAATTAATATGTAATAGGTTTAAAAAATTTCATTCTAGTTCTCATTACCTAAAGCAGAGTTGACAAACGTTTTAATAAAAACAAACAACAAAAACACCTGGAAATAAGTGATTCTTAAAAATCCAAACTATAAACCATAAAATTATAAAAAGTAAAGCAAAAAGTTTTTCTGATCATAAAATATTTATTAAGGTATACTTTAAGGAATATAGTGAATATAAAATTTAGGATCACAATATGAAGCAATTTCAATCCTCTCAAAAGTCCAAACATCCTTCAATACTCTGCAGATATAAAATCACTGGTGAAACTCACTAAAAAGCAGTTTGACTAATACAGAAGTGGCTTTTCGTGAACATTTACAACGAAAGCATCTGCATACCCCTTTTAACTGCAAAACCACACCACATTACACTAATGCAGTAAGAATGCATTCATATTGTTTTCATTAGTCATTAGTAGTCAATTTGCATAAAACACCAGAAGAAAAGCACAATGGAGCTCACAAAATAGGCTTAAAAAATGAACCTGTCCTTGCAAAACATACTGTAATGGAAGAGACATTTTAAAAAGTTATGCGTACTACAGAAGCTGCAATCATTCCAAGAATCTCAATTGTCATCTCCTTTTTCATAAAATCAAATTACAAGAACCAGGCACAACTAATATTTGGGAGGCAGTGTGTAGCTAAAATCTCATTTAACTAATTATTCAATGATTTTTAAAATCCCCATAAATCGTTTCTGTCCTGAGGTAGTTGCAAAATAAATCATAACTGGAATATCAATTAGAGCTGAGGCTTTGACTTTTTACTCATTAAACTAGTTGTTACTGACAGAACTACCTTTTCATAGTTAAGACAGCTGAAAAATGGGCCTCTTACTACACACACAAGATGATGGCTATGTGGGAAAGAGGAGTAGCTGCTTCAGAATGTGAGAGATATGGTCCACTGTTGCTTCCACCCTCCCAACCCATTTTAGATTCGTTATTGTCCAATAAGCCACCAGGAGCAACACAGAAGCATACAGATCTCATCGTCCTTTGCTGTAGCCAGGGAAGAAAAGGTCAAGTAGAGTCTGTAGAATCTCATTGGGAATCATGACGTAATTCTGGCCAAGATCATGCCGGCAAGCAGGGCAGGAAAAAACTTGGGCCTTAAAAGAGCGCTGTAAGCAATCCTAAGGTAAAAACACAGGAAAAAAGCCACACACAAAACATCCAATTTCATTAGAGTGTCAAGCATGTGGAAAATAAATCAGTAACTTACACTTTTAAACAGGAATGAGAAACTTACTGTTTATAATAAGAGATATGTACAGCTTTAAAGGCCTGAGTCTGTATTACACAGTATATATAGTTGCATCCCTGACAAACACTGTGAGACTTCAGGTAAATGATGTAACTTTGTGCTTCACTTCCCTCCACTGGTAAAATGAAGGTTTTACAGAGTATGTGTGGTTCCTGTGAACATGGTCATGGCTGGACTTTAGTCCTAGCAGTTTACTGATGGAGCCGGAAAGGAGGGAAAAAAATTCAGGATTCTGTTTCTTAGAAATTAGTCATTTTCTTATCAAATCACTTAACAGATGTGTCTTCTAAAATTACATGTAGCTGTACCAAACACAGAGAATTAACAAGTGCTCAGGCACAATCACATACATACTTAAGTTTTGTGTGTCATCGTTGCCCCCCACCATCCCATACTGGGGATCAAACTCCGGTCCTTGCACTTGTGAGGCAGGTGCTGGAACCGCTGAGCTAAATCCCTGGCCCGAAGGCACATACATAAAAGCACTGTTCCTACTTTAAAAAGGAAAGAAGTTCTGAGGTTAGGTCAAGGCATAAAGCTACCACTTCGTAGAGCAAGTTTAAAACCCTGGCTTGACTAACACTCAAGTTTTCCTTTTGAACCACACAGATAACATAATATTCAAATCACGTGAGCATCTTGTCAGGAAGAATCTGTTTTAGACTTTTTAATCAACTACAAGAAAATAATACATAAAACTTATAAGCTTACATAGATAATAGCAATGATGACCTTAGTTTCTTTTTTCTTTTTTGGTGCCAGGGATCGAAATGTGGTCCTTGCACTTGTAAGGCAGGCAGCGGGACCATTGAGCTAAATCCCAGACCCTTAACCTTAGTTTCTTTGTATTTCATTCCTTCCTTGATAATTCCAAACACGGTGGAACACTTGAAGCAGTATTTATTAGACTATTAAAATCAAATTAAAATGCGCATTTACCACCAACATGTAATTAAATGTTTCTTAAATGGTAAGGTTCCACAACTATTCTACTTCATGAAAAAATGGTTTTCAAGTGCTGAAAACAGGTACAGAGTTTAGTGTGCCTTGAACCTTGTCAAGGGAGAGTGGGAGGGGTTCTACTTACTTTACAGACATTGTGGAAGCACTCCGTCGTCACAGGTTGATAAACTAGCTCCTGACAGCAGACACACATGAAAGATTGTTCCAATTTTTTCAGGAAACTCTAAAATGAAAATGACACCCAGGAGAAAGGAAAACAATGTTAGAAGTTCATAAAATATACAATGAAATTCTAAAGGATCAAAAATATTGACTTGTTTTATAACAAGAAAAAGAAAATTCTAACTACTTAAGCCAAGCAAACATAACAGTGTAGAAAACCCATTGAAGTACCTCTACATTTCACATTCCAGGGATAACTATTTTTCACAAATACAAAAAAATAAGGGACTGGGGTTGTAGCTCAGTGGTTAGAGGAACTGTCTAACATGTAGAAGGACCTGGGTTCACTTTCCAGCACCAAATAAACAAAACACAATGTGGTTCTTTCCATAAACTCTACTGCATGCTGTATGGATATGAAATGTTTTCCATTAAACATTTTACTGATACAGAACCTAAATGATTTTGAAGCTTTAAAAAAAAAAAAAAAAAGAGAACTATGCAAAGTACTCCAGTATCTAATACCAGAAGGAATCAACATCATTTCCTATGATTTTCTGTGATTATTTTGACTCAACCCCCCCCTCAAATCCCGTATTTCCTTGGTGTTGTTTACTAAAGGGAGTTGAAATTATAATAAAAAGTACAGCTACCTAAAGAAATCATTTTCAAATGAGTCTCCTATACTGTATCTTTAAAAGCTACTACCAGTGCAATTTTGCCCTACTTGTTCATGTTTTTAAACTAGAAAAGAAGCTAGTTTTTTAAAAGTTATAAACCCTTTAGTTATTTTTGGTTGTGAGAGAATGAATTTTATTTTTTTAATAGAAAAACAAATTTATAAGAGTTTCAAGTAAAAAAATAAATGGCATATTTCAAAACATGCTCTGATATTGTTACATTAACATGGATTAAAAATTTAAGGAAATTATAACATAACACTTTCAAAGAATATAACATGCTAGGAATCCATAATCCCAGCACACATCTGTAGTCCCAAGCACTCTGGGATTCTAAGGCAGAAAGATCACAAGCGCAAATCAATTTAGCAACTTAGTGAGATCTTGTCTCAAAAAAAGGTCTGGGGCTATAGCTCAGTGTGAAGGCTCTAGGTTCAATCCCCAGGGACAGTAAAAATAAACACATCCACATGGAGATGTTAGTTTCTGTACTGTAATGTTTGCCTCACAAATGTAGATGCTAAAAATCTCAAACTTTGTAACATGTACCTTTTGTTTGTTATGTCTTTGTACCAGGGATCAAACCTGAGACCTTGTGCTTGCCAAAGCAACAGAACCACTGAGCTAAATCCACCACCCAGTAAGAGGTACCCCTCTTGCTAACAAGTTACTTTGTAGCTCCATGGGGTCTATGTTTTATATAGGTGTATGCAGTATCACTATTCTTAGTTTTTATGGTGTGCTAGGTACTTGTCTACAGAGTGGTTATAAAAATGAAAAGTCTCTAATCTCATAGACCTTATATTCCTATAGAAGAATAGACAAAAAATAAATTTCAGAGAGTACTAAGTGAGAAAAGAACATCAATTAAAAGTAAAAGATGTAAACCAGTGAGAGCTGATAAAGGCCTCTGGGGAGTGTAATACTTATGTAATCTGAAAGGTTATGAAAGAATAGGCCTCATCAAGACAGAGAGGACAGAGTTTTTGTTAGACAGATAGTCATTTCCCCAGGATTTAACATATGTACTAACTATTTTGCACAGAGTGTGGCAGTCAATGCAGTCAGGGGACAAGCAGCAGTCAGGGAAAACTGCTCACAATCTCAGAGTCTTGGAAAGGTGTTTAGTTATGAAGGTATATGCTTTCATTTATTAAAAGTCATCATTGGCTAACAACTGTTCATTTTGTTTTACCTTTTTCTTTTGTGGTACTAAGACCAAACCCAAGGGCATTCTATCACTGAGCTACCTCCCCTACATACCTTTTTTTTTTCCCTTCCCTACAAATGTTTTTTTGAGAGGGTCTCACTAAGTTGCCCAACTGGCCTCAAATTTTCTAACCTTTTGCTCAACCCCTTGAAGTCAGAATTACACAAGTACTACCACACCCAGAAAGAATATCTAAGGATTGAAAAAATAAATGTAAGAGCATTAAGTTTATGGACTCCCAATAATTTCTGAAACATGATGGCACTGTATAGAAGAATCAAGTTTTATTTTCCATCACTGGTTAATATTAGAACATTATTTAGGAAAACGTTTACATACTGGTCCTTCCACAAGAGATGCAAGCACTTCATCCCATAGTTTCTGGTTCTGACAGTCTTCTCTGATTAGGCGCTGTTGCTGAGGGGTAAGTTGGAAAGCCTCAACTGCTTCTGCAGAGTCTGACGCTTTGATCACTTTGGAGGCACTTGGACATTCATCTAGATTTGGTTTTAAAATATCAGTAGTTCACCTCAGACCCACAACACAAGAATTAACTGGTACCAAAAGAGTTAACAGGCAGATGCCCATATAAAGCAGCTTCTAACATGCCTTGGAATTCAGGATGCTATACTCATTGTTGTTACGGATCTGACATTATTAAAATACACAAAAAGACCCATTACCCACTTCCAAAACAACAAAACTCTTTGCTTATAATTTCTTATGAATCTCTCAATATATTCTAATATTTTTCTTTATTCAAATGTAGTCAGGATATCCACTCTGGATCAGTACCTACCATCTGAAGTTGGCCTTTTTGTAGCTTCAGCAGCCTGCTTCTTTGCCTGTCCTTTAGTCTTCTTCCCTTCCTTATCTGAAGGGTAACCTGCTGGATACTGATGGGAGGGGGGAAACGACAACAAAGATTTCAGCTTCATAGAGAAGGGAGGTTCTGGCTCCTGGTGAGAAATTTTAAAGGGGGAGGGCAGAGTCTATTTTCCCTAAATGGAAAGAATTTACATAAAGGATATACACTTTCAAAGAAAAAGGATTCAAGACACAGAAGACTACTGAAATCCCAAATTCACTGTTAAGCCATGTAGCTTTAACTTCTAAAATATTCCAAAATATTTTATAACATAATGATCTTAGTTTGAGACCTAAAAGAAAGAAATCTTCAAGAGTGGTTACTAGTCAGCCAGAAAAATTTCAGGAATGGAGAATTTAAAGTGAGTATCAACCACAGAGCACCATATATGGTAATAAAATAAATCAATCAGAAACAAAAAACTAAGGGTTAAATTTCTCATCTCCTAAAACTGGAGATACCTGGGATAGAACTCAGGACCTTACCCTTTGGAGCCAGGCACAGCACCACTGAGCCAAGTCCCCAGCCCAGGTGGAGACTTTTAGAAGATCTAAGTGACTAAACTACTATATTTTCTATTACTTAAGGGTTCAGTTTTAAGGGGTACATTCTAGCTATTACCCCTACGACACTGTTTTCATTTTTTTCTAGTACCGGGATGGAAATCAGGACGTTGCGCTTTGCGAGGCAGGTGTGGCACCACTGAACTACATTTCCAGACCCCTTTTTAAGATAGGGTCTTGCTATGTTACACAGGCTGGCTATCAATGTTTCACCGTCCTACCTTAGCACCCTGAGTAGTTGAGATCACAGGCATGTGCCAACACGCAGGTAGCCTTTTTTTGGGGGGGGGGGGACTGAGGATCAAACTCAGCACCTTGCGCTTGTGAGGCAGGAGGCGGAACCACTCAGCTAAATCCCCAGCCCTAGCCTAGGTTTAAATGTCTACCTGGGGGGAGGGGGAAGGTAGCTCTTGCAATAATGTTGATCTTTAAAGCTCTATGTGTTTGGCTTCATATTAATTTACCATAGTAAATGGACTCAAAGTTTCTTTCTTTTTTATTTTTTTAGTACTGGGGATTGAACTCAGGACCTTGAGCTTATGAGGCAGGCGGTGGTACCACTGAGCTAAATCCTCAGCCCTCACAGTTTCAAATAAAAACCCATCTAATCCTCTGAACATAAGGGTCTGAAAAAATCTTCCAAAAATGGATTTGAGAAAGTTCTTACATTTACTTATAAAGTATTATTTTGGTAATTATTTTAGTAGTTGGTAGATCGTGTTTAAACAATAAACAATGATTTAAAAAACACACACACACACACACACATAAAGAAATAGACTTCCACTAAAAGATACACACTCACCTGCCTGGGTGGTCAGACACTTGCCCATAGTTCAGCCCCTACACATGCAATGTGGGCAGAGCCAGGGGAAATGACAAAGCTGACAGTCTTTACAGGAAGCACAACATGGAAAATTATGAGGAAAGAACTCAAACCATGCTCTGTCAGTAGCAGGGACAAAGTTTAGGGTATCCAGGCAGTGAAAGGGGAATGCAGCCGTACTATCCAGAAGGTACACAAAACCAACAAAGTCTTCTATGGATTAACAGCTGAGCATGGGCAAAGGGGAAAAAAAGGCAAATCACTGAAAGTGACAGCAGGGCAGGGAAGCAGCTTAGCAGGAAAGAGAGAAAAGGGGTGAGGAAAAGTGAGAAGGGTAGGAAGCAGACCACTTTTATCAGCCATTTCCCCACCCTTCCCCTACCACAGACAGTCCCCCTGTGCCCTTTAGATACCCTTTTCCAAGGTCCCCTAAACTTAAATTTTATAAATCCCATTCCCTCAGACCTCATCACTTCTTTGCGGAACTAGAAATATTTTACTTTTCATTGACAAGTCCAGCACTCCCTAAGCACAACGTGTGCCTTCTTACTTTTCCTTTTGTATACCGCATGATGTTCTTGTTCACCCCTTAGTCACTGATCAGTTGCTATGAGTTATATACACTATTAAGGCACATAATATGGATGTATATTTTTATGAACGTATGAGCAGCTCAGACAACATAATCTAACCTGTAAACGAAGACATAATCTCCTTGAACGCTCTATTCCTTCTGAGGTCCAAGGTGCAGGTTCAACATCATCTCTTCTTAAAAGGTAACGCCAAACCAAGAATCCATGACTGGATGAAATTTCTGGCCAGTATTTCACCACCTATAGCATATTTCAGTAGTACATTCATATTTAAAGTTGGATTTATTTATAATGCATTAACATTAGTGGCTTAAATATTCTTGTTAGAATTTATTGCAACTCCAGAAGGTACTTGCTATGGTGTAAGAATAATAAATTAAAAAGTCAAGAATATGCATTAAAACATAGTTTTGACTTTATTTCCTATTCAGACAGCTCCCATAGAAATATAGGATATCCCAAATTTAGCAGATTAACAAAACTGTGCTCATTAATAATTTTGCATATTAGATAAGAATGGTGGCAGTTATATCCTAGTTTTGAGCAAAAAGATAAAATCTATTTTTAATATTATGTGTTCTCCTTTCAAATTTTTTACAATCATTAAATCATTCTGAAAAGATTGTAAGAATTAAGATCCACAACAGGCAAGTCATTTAAATGGTTTTATCACAGAGAATCTACACTTAAACTTAACTCAAAATATGACCTTTTGCCCTTAGAAATGTCAAGTAAGCTTTTTTTAAAAAAAGACTGACGTATAGAAGAGTCCTCTTTATGTATTGGCTGGCTATGCTTCAAGCCATTTCCAAATTACTTGGACATTTTACTTTTTAACTGAACTAAAAGTGAAAGTGGAAATACAACTAAGATGGCCTCATCTTTCCTCCAGCCCACCCACCAGTGCCCTGAGGTGACCCTGTCTTGAAAGCCCAGGAAAAATGACTAACAAGATGTCATGCCAGATAGAGCACCTTATAAATGCCATCATATCTGTTGCCTTCTTCAGGAGCATATTTGCTGATCTTCCTCCCTTTAAAACTGCGTATCACTCTGACTGGCTTACCAGCTCTCCAATTCCGAGACTCTGCTCCAATTTTATCATCCAATGGAGCATCACAGTTTAGGGCCAATGCCCTAAAAAAATAAAACAAAGTCTTTATACCAAGTAATTTTTCTCCAAGTACATAATCGAGTCATTAGCTCAATTAAAAGGTGAATTATGCCTTACCTGATGGTTAAGAGTCTATGATTCTTTCCATATTATTCCAGATAATAGGATTATGCTTTCCCCCACCAGCAGAGAAGACAAATCAGTTTTCTGATGTCACCCCCAAGCCAGGGGATTGGTTCTCAGATAGCCTGTAGGGTTCTTCTGAAAGTAATAACATCTGTGCCACGTATAATAGAAAACAACTAAAAATACATGGAATGTTCTTTAAATAACGGTTGTTGAGGGAAGAGAGAACGCTGAACTAAAGCAAGTGGTTGTTTTAATAGGTCTTTTTGATAAGGGAGTGAAGTAAATTGCTGGAATGATATAGAAAGAAATCTAGAAAAATAAATCCACCAGCCAGGTACAAATGACCTTTCTAGGTCTACTTTCCACATTCCAGACAATAGAGATTTGTAAGGTTTAAGAATAAGTGCAATATGAGACTATTCTTTAAAGTCCTCCACAAAAAGACAAATTAACACTCAAGCATCAAAATGCTTGTGCTAAATCATGACAATAAAGAGTTTTTGGTTGCCTCAGTTTACCAAGATTACTGATGCCAGAGAGAAGGCAGTTTTTGGAGGAAGCATCTGACCTAATTTAAACACCCTCAGTATATGTACTCATAATGCATCAGTGAGCCTAAAGACCTTTCTGGGGAAAACCTAGGCCTACAAAAGTACTACAGTCTTCGGAAAAATTGGGATTTCCCTCTAAGATATGTATGTCTTCACATAAGCAAAAAGAACACACTTAAGAAAGGATTAAAAAAAAAGTATACCCAAAATCAAATATGATACAAAATAGTTTTTCAGGGTATACTTATTAATGCAAGTTCAAATTTAAAAACAGACATTAATACTATGGCTAACCTATTGAAAAGGAATTTCTTGACCATAGTTAACTCCTAAAATAAATGAACTTATTTTTATTTCTAAAAATAACTTTTATGGCTGCAGTTAGAGAGTAAAGCTCTTAACAAGTTATTTTTTTTATTTAAAAAGGGAGCTAATTTAAAACTCTAAAACATTTAAAATACCCATCAACTCTAGGGCTAGTATATTGTACTTATGGAATATCTACCAAGATAAACATATTTTATCCTGAAGAACTAGGATAAGTACTATCTTCATGTTATTGAGTGAACATGCTTTAAATATCATGGTACTTTCTTCCAATCATAATTACTACTAACTGGCAATGTCCACTCATTTCTAGCTTCAGATACAAATACATGCTATGCAAGGATGTGAAGCGTCCGGAAGGATGAAGCTAGGCAAAGCAGCAACAAATTACTCTATCTGTAGCTCAATCAGCTGCCTCTGCCTGCCCTACCAAAGGATTGCCAGGTTACCTTGTTGCCCTCTTCAGTTTCTTAAAGTGAAAGATCTGGGAAGAAATAGGAATAAACTCAGAAGCAAGAAAGTGTCCAATTTTCTCTCAGGAGAGAAGCAAAAGTGAATTTCACCATACATATATCATTTGGGGGAAAGTATATTATGGGTCAAAGTAAAGGCCTATGTTTTCATGTCATGAGACAGGTATCTTAGCCCTAGAGAGCTTACAATCACAAGGCATATTTATAGCTTAATGTATAATCAACTGGATGTTAAAGTCTTTATGAGATGTCAATCCTAAATTGCTTTCAGTTAATATTTCATTTTCACAACTCTCCTCTTAATAGCAAACATTTACATTGTTCATCAATTATTTTGTAAAGAGACTGTAATAGTACTTATATTAGGTTACCTAAAAGCTTGAAAGGAACCTACCAGGAATACTGTAAATGAGTTATGAAAGAAGTTTCCTTCAAGCAAAATAGTTTATTAACAGGAAAATACAAATTTCAGTTTTCACAACTTTGAAAAGCCCCTTTGCAAATTCGATATATTTTCATTAACAAAGATGCATCAAACTATTTCTAACTTCTTTTAAGTTCATTATTCTGAAGAGCTGCATCCTTGACCGAAAAAAGAATGTGTAGAACTGGGCTCCTGCCTCAGGAATGTTTTCACCAGCAAATCTGACCTGTCTCCTCTGCTGGTTCAGTAAAATAATCCTACTGTCAGAAATAATATACAAGACAAAAAACAGATTCTATGTAATTCAGTATGCAATAAAAGTTTTGAAATCATATTCTTTAGTTCACATGGTAATCACAAATTAAAAGGATGCTACTTAAAACCGAGTGATTTAGACTTAAAGGGAAAAATACTTCTACTCAATGCACAATATACTCTTTATGATATAAAAATATTTAACCATGTGATTGTTTCATATGGTTAAAAATTTAAATGTGACAAATTAAACTGTGGTCTTGCTATCAGATGGTTTGGATTGGTTTTCTATTATTAATAGTAGCATTCATTTATAACAAAAATATTTTGAAATTACTAAATTTTTATTGTTTCCATAAAGACTGCATATTACAATTCTAAAAGTTGGAGGTCATTAATACTTGTAAATAATAAAGCTCAGCACAAGGTGGCTCTTTTGTAATGCTGTAGAAAATTTAGTTCAAAAGGATCACTTTATCTAAACAAATTTCCCCTTTTGAAACATTAAGAAGACATTAGGGTCAATTCCAAAAGTATCTTAAATACAGATGTGATTAAATTATCTTGTATTTCCTCATATATATGTGACTTGCAATCATTACCCTATTTTCATATTAATGGGACTCTAAGATTAGTCTCTACTAAAAGATAAGTCTGTTGAGTATAATATCACTTGGTGTTGACAAGAACTTATGGGGTAATAAATAAGCCACCTTATCCTGAATATAAGTCCCTTTCTTTGAAAGTGACAAGTTTTCAAAGGGACAGCATGTGTTTTAAGAAAGACAAAGACATGGGATCCTTACAATTCTATAATAAGGCACTAAAATTTTATCTTTAACTTAATTTAAGACTCTTCCCAGCACTCTAAATTGCCAGTTATAATCTCATAATAAAACCTTTATATAACATTCAAATTCTAAATGGTCTTTACAAAAGTACCTGTTCATGTTTGTTAATGTTTGATCAGCTGATGGTGCACCAATTCTTTTATTACCGGCAAGATTTTTACCACCACTTCCAGTGTATGTAAATTCATCACCTCGGTCCTATAGAAAGAAAATGTTTTACTTTAAGATACCTAAACCCAAGTATAATTTCCTTGATTCTTATTTTAGAGTAAGAACAGCTGTTGAGGATACTATGAATGGACATGTTTTCTTGCAGTATCTACCAAAATCAGACAAAATTAGTGCAATTCTATGTAGTATCCCTTCAAGTTATATCACTTGACCTAAAGTTAAAAAAAGAAAATCTAGTTTCTGACATCTCCACACACTGATTCTCATGCAATATATGTAGTCAATCTGTACAGTTTCATAAGATGAGATCTTAAGGACTAGAGATATTATATGTAATTCAACTCAAGGTTAACTAAAATAAACACATCATTACTAGCTTGCAGGTTCTTTATAGATAATACTATTTTTATTAAAAACAAAATTTTGGAGGGGTACCAGGGATCAAACTTGGACCTTGTGCTTGCGAGCGCAGGCGGTTAAAAATTCTTTTTTGAGACTGGATCTCACTATGCAGTCAAGGCTGGCTTTGAACTTGCTATGCAGCCCAGGCTGGTGTTAAACTCTCATCAATCTCCTGCCTCCTTTGGCCTAGTGCTGGGATTACAGGTATGCAGTGCTACTTTTATGAACACACCATAACTAAACTCTCAGCTGTTACCTATACCACACCTAAATTTGCTGCCAAATAGTATTCAAATTCTGATGTTGACATCAAATAAATTTTATAAAGCAAGTTTACATAAAGACTCTATATTACAGTACTAATAGCATAGTAAATTCTCTACATTTTATATTTTATTAGTTCATCCACAACACAGTTAGATAAAATAGTCATTAAAAAGGAAATTGGAAAACAATTTGAAAAATAAAAGTAATATTTAGTATCTACTAAATGTGGAGAAGAAATGCCAAAAGGGAAGCTATATAAACCAGCTCCACTATTATTTCTGAAGTAGCTACAAATTATATGGACAATACTAAGACTCTAAATCAAAAAGTAACTCAGTATACTAATTCTACCAACGCCAACTAAGTAGTGATTCTTGTTTAATGTAAATCACTTTAATTAGTTCAGATTTTAGACAATAAAGTTTTAGCTGAATTCTTATTCCAGAAGTCAATTAGTTACATCTTTTCTTTCCCCCTTTTCTTTTTCACATATTAAAAACCTAAAGAGTACAAAGAGGTGAGGTGTGGTGACATACAACTGCATTCCTAACTGCTCATGAACCTGAGAGATTATAGTCACAAATTCTAGGTCAGCGTGGACACCTCAGTGAGACTCTGTCCCAAGAAATCTGGGCAGGGTGGCGCAGGATGGCACATGCTTGTAATTCTAGCACTGTGGGAGGTTGTGGCAAGAGGATCCCAAGTTCAGGCCCAATCTAGGCAATTTAGCATGGCCCTGTTTCAACATAAGGGCTGGAGATGTGGCTCAGTGTGTAGGTCCTGGGTTCAATCCTCATACTGCAAGATGTTTGGATGGACAGATGGATGGGCCGAGGAAGTAACTCAGTAGTGGAACATTTGCCTAGCATGTGCAAGGCCCTGGATCAATTCTTTTTTCTTTTTTTTTTGGTACCGGGGATCAAACTTGGGCCCTTATTGCTTGTGAGGCAGGTAGCGGAAATATTGAACCAAACTGCCGGCCCCAATTCTTAATGTATTTTTTTTAAAACTTCAGTAAAATTTAAGTGTGCTTTACTGCTCCAAAAACCCTGAATTCACTTATTGACCCAACACTGACACCTCTATTTTTAAAAAAAAATCAGGCATTAAGGAATTCCATTTTTTAAAAAATTTCATTGAGGTTATTCATACTTTTTAAGTATACAGTACAATTACATTCATCATTGGGATTTTGTACCCTTACATGACAGATCTTGGTTCTCATTTTAGGAATTTCATTTTTAATGTGTTCTGTGTGAGAAATTTTAGTAAGATCTAGAGCAGTCTACAGCACTTCTTAAATGCTTCACAGTCTTGACCACAGTTACTTGGACTGATTCCATTAACTCATAATTATTAAATTTTCAAATTAAAATCATAGGAATGTTCCAAGGGAAAAATCAGTGGGAATGAGAGCAGGATAACAGGAACAACATAGGGTGAATAACATTTAAAACACAGAAACAGAATCATTCCTGGTTGTTTTTCAGCCAAGAAAAGACCGTATCATCAAGGGTCAAGAAAAATGTTTAAGTCTGTCTATACTAACGCATTTACATTTCAATCATTGTAACAAAAAACTTTACATTATCATAGAAGAAAAAGATTTGTCCCACTGTCAGAGCTTAAACAACATCATTTCAGAACACTTTTCCTACGGAGAAATCATCGGCCTAAATTTGTTGCATTTTCTAGTCTACGATCTGCTAAACTGTGGCCCTAAGCCATAGCCTACAGATTGTTGCCTAAGAAAACCCACAGAAAGCAGCTGTATCTACATCAGGGATGCAATTTCCCAATCTCTTCTTCCAAGCTGCTACAGCAGCTGTCTTAAGATCACTGGGGTGTCGCCACTCCAGGCATCAACCTCATCTCCCAGAACCTCCCCATTCCAATCTTGTCAACCTTCCTAATAAACCATCTTAAAGCACAATTAAAACTCTGTCACTTCACCTTGATTTTTAGCAGTTTCTATCTTCTACAGCCTTTATGTGCTTCCACAAATGGGTACTGAGATCACCTACCTTGCCCTTGCTACATATGTGGGGACAGGCAAAGCATTTTACTAGCTATGGTTCATTTAACTCACATCACGACCAAGAGGTAAGTGTATACACCTGATTTTACAGGTAAGGCAGAGGTTCAGGAAGTTGCTTAAGGTCACATGGTTAGGAAGAGATGGTTCCTCACACAAACAGCATGATTTCAGAATCTTAGGACCACTGTGCAAATTACTTCTCCACCAAATATTAACTAATGTATTAGCAGGTACTCGAGAAGTGTTTTTGTATTCATTCATACAAACAGGACAAAACTCACTGGCTACATAAATGTTATACCAAATTTGAGTTTAACAACAAATTTCCTCTTGAATCAGAAAAGCTTATTCAGTTTCCCTCACTTATTTCTGTAACTATGACCTATCTAATACAGATAAAAAGGTTTAAAATGCTTATAAAATGTATGAACACTTCCAGATACATTTTAGCTGGCAATTTAATCCTACATGTCATCTTAGTTCAAAATTAAAATTCTTCTTTACAATATTTAATTAGATTTAATTACTTCGAAAAAGTAACGAAGATTCTGTCCCTCCTGTTTTAATGTTTTGAGTAGTAACTATACTTAAAATGTGGAATGAAAGGAAGTGAGAACACCCACTCCTCCACTTGTGGCACTCATTTTCAGCATTTCAGAAACAGGTTAGGTGTACTTCATATATTTAAAGTAAGAATTTGCTCAGCGTATGTAACTAACATTTGAGTCTTTTTAATGCTTTTTACGTTTTTTTTTTGGGTGGGAGCAGTACTGGGGATTGAATTCAGGGCCTTCATTTTCAGTTACTTACCCAGCCCTTTTTAATTTCAAGATGGGGTCTCACTAAGTAATTACATTGCCTATGCTGGGTTCCAACTTGAAATTTTCCTGTCTCAGCCTTCTGCAGTGCTGGGATTATACACACACATGTGTCATCATGACTGATTACATTTGAATCTTTCTAATGTGCCTAGGATTCCTAAAAATTTTGCCAAAGTTTCACAAACAACATAAATCAGATCCTAATTCAAATATGAATGCCCAAATAGTAACGACACTCCACACTTTTGAGTTGCTGTTTTACTGATTTTAATAAAATCTTTTCTATTTCTGAAAAATACTTAGATACAGCTTTGAAATATCTATTTTAAAGGAGTAAAAAAAGAATTAAGCTGAATGTTTTCAAGTTGTTTCTGCTGCATTAAATGCACTGTCAATTTGCCTATCAGAAAGACAGTAAACCTTTTTGTCTGAAAATGTACAATTGTCTTCTCCATAGCCACTTTAATTAACTATATTAATTGTTCCATAAAAACATTAATCGTTAATTATCCCATTAAAAATAATTTTTAAAAAAGTCTAGGAGAAAATACTTAACAGCTACATATCCGATAAATGGCAAAATTCACAAATTTTAGCTATAACAGCTAAGAATTACTAATGCAGACATTTTTCAACAAGTGAATGGTTACACTAACTATAGTTCAACCTCCATACCACAAACTAATCCTCCACCACACACACACACACACACACACACACACACGCCTTGTTTTTTTCTGTACCAGGAATTAAACTCCAGGACCTTGTGCTTGCTAAATCCCTGACCCTAAAAACAAATACACTGATACAAGTCACAACGTCTGGAGAGTCCACATTCAAGGGAATGTATAAAGAAGTGAGTCCAAAAGGTTACGAAGTGCTTTATTCCACTTATAAAAATTCCTGAAGTGACAAATTATACAGATGGAGAAAAGATTGTTACTGGTATTAGGACACAGCATAATGGTATTTTTACACTTTCTCCTTGCTCTATGTTGTAACAGGCTTATGAAGTTCTACGGGCTGACTATAATTACAGTAAAATCTGGATCTGGGAGAATAATTTGTTCCACTCATAATCCAATGCACTTGTATATCAAAGCAGCAAAAGCAAGCGAGTGAGCAAGAAACCAGTTATGACCATGTGATGTCTGGCATGACATACTACTCCAATGGAAGACATTGCTCGTTTCTCAAGTTAAAATTTCTTAGCAATGGTTGCTCATCTTGCAGAACACTTGCAGACCAACTTACTCCCGATATAAGGTTTGACTGTATATATAATCTTTATATTTTTGAAAAATACTGAAGATACATAATAGAAATTATGATAGCAGAAACATTAGGATTTTGTGTGAATGCCAATATCCTGGTTGTGATACTGTATTACATGGAGTTTGACAAAATGTCATCACTGGGAGAATATGGGATGGCTATATTATTTGTAATGCTACAATTACTAATTGTGAATCTACACTTACCTCAAAACAGTTTTAAAAGCTGAGCTCTGTAATCTATTTTCTGTATAACTTACCAAATGTAAACAAGTCAAATTAGTACATGAAGATAAAGACACTGCCAGTTTTTCTCTTATTGGTTGTAGAACACTGATTACACCAACATAAAACTATGCTCAAAAGAGATAGCAGTGTTTGCTGAATCACAGACAAAGCATTTATAGTTTTCTAAGTAATTAAGATAGGTTCTAAAAAACAAAGTCAAATCATGACTTACTACTTCATCTGCAAATCCACCAGCCAGGACAAGAGAATAAGCCCCATCATTACTGCGACCATGAATTCCACCGACATGGGGCCTATGCACACCTGCTTCGCTCACCTATAAAATAAGTAAAAAGAATCTCAGAATACCTCTGAACAATTAAGTTACATTTATAAAAAGCTTCCACATATATTACTGAGTCATGAACCCAAAGAACCATGTCTCACCGAGTTCTATCTTTTGGTCTCTCATTTTAGTTCTCTACAAACAAATCCTAAAGGGACTAAGGAGACAACCTGAAATCTGAGTAGGCCTACAACTCTGTTCCATAATATTTTTAATAATCATCATCCTTAAATATCGAATAGCTTCTCTGGTGTGAATAAACTATAATAGTACGTAAGATCCTAATGAGATAACTGACATTGTGAAATAGGAAGAAAAGGGCTAAAGGTGTAGGGAAAGTGGGAAGGGTAGGAGAAAGGTAATAAAGGAAAGAAAAAAAAAATAGGAGAAAATGTAAAAATGGAAATTAAATGTTTGTAAATGGGGAGGAGAAGAGGAGGTGAAGGGAGGGCAGGGATAAGAGGAAAAAATGAGAACCAAGACCTGTCATGTAAAGGTACAAGATCCCAATAATGAATGTAATTGTACTGTATACCTAAAATGTACCAATAAACTCAATGAGGGGGAAAAAAATCATCATCTCAGGTAACTGGAACTTCCAACCCAACTCGGGTAAAAGAACACTCACTACCTGTGGTCACAATCACCTCCCTTATTTCTCATTTTTCATTATGGCTATTACCTATCCAGACCGTCATGTCATTATGCAGGTATCATTTTACCCCATTCTTTTCCTGTTATTCCTCAAGGCATATGGTCACAAGGACTCTTAATTCTACTTCCTAAATCCTTCAAATCCATCGTTTTTATTCCTACTGCTCAATCTTAATTTGAGTCATGTATGCTTACATCAGACTTATTTTGTTGCCTTCAGTTTTGCTCCTTTGAACCTACCCCATCATAAAAGAATATCTGTTTGGAGAAGAACTGTGTTTGACTTTCAGTGCTTAAAATATATTAAATGATCTTAAGAGTATTCAAGTTCCAGTGAAGAATTATATACTGCCCTCTGTCAATTCTATTTTTCCAGCTTTACCTGTAGTTGCCCCATCACGCATCCTATAAGTTAGAGCCAAAATTACTCAACGTTACTCAAATATGAATTTCATTTCTAGTTTAGTGATGCTATCCTACTTCAGTATCTTGGATTTTTTCATATATTCTGAATTCTTTCTCACTGAAACAAGTACCCCTCCCTTTCCATACTTCACACTTTCGGAGAAAGGTATTGTAAAACAACTGTTCTTAGTAAAAGAAGCTGAAATTCAAGCTTACGTGGTAAGCTTAGACAAAACACTAAGCCAACAAGAAACTAATAATAAAAACAACTGAAACTGGGAAAGCCGTAGCCCTTGCAAATTCCAGATATTTTAGCAGGAGGCAGAAGCACTTGGTTTCCCTACTTCACCAATCACGGTAAAAATAAATTTGTTCTACTATCTCTCATCCCCTAAAAGGCATAACCATTCTGCTACACGTTAAATCAATAACCTCAGTCATCTTGGAGTCTTAAACCATATAAAAAAGGGCCTTTTAAAGGTGGGGAATGACAGGGCTGGGGATTTAGCTCAGTGGTTCCGCCACCCGCCTCACAAGTTCAATCCCCGGTACCAAATGAGAGAAAAAAAAAAAAAGAAGTTGGAGAATGATACATGATACATTTTATATATATATATATATATATATACACACACACACACACACACACATACACATATATATATATATATACACATACATATATATGTATATATAGTGAGACACACACACAAAGGAGCAAAAACATTTATACTATTTTATTATATTCTATTTATAACATTTTCCTGTACTTATAGATCAAAAGTCATAAAAATACAAACCCTAAATAGCAGTTCAAAATTCTGACATAACTATTTCAAGGATGAGAGGACAGAAAGTACTAAGCTAAATATCCATCTTCCATAGAAGGAAACTAATAAAACTAAAATATAAAAGAAAAAAACATGTTATTTAAAAGTAAAGCCATAGTAAAAACTAAAATTTTATCTCAGAAAAAGAGAAAACGGGGATGAAAAGCAGAGTGGGTTTTTAAAATAAAAATCACATATTATTTAACTTTTCAAGCTATGTACAATGTCTATTTTAATTTTAAAATCATATCAAAGATCTAAGTACAATGGATCACTAAATATTAAAAAGCAGCCTTAGTTGAAGTCGAGAATCCTAGGCATCTCTGAAAACTGTTCTTCTCCAGAAATTGTTACTTGCATACTAAGTTTTCCATGATAACATTAATCTTCTAAAAATGAAATTAGGAATGAGTTAACACAGCATCTGCCTGAAGCAGCAAAGAGAAACAATTTTATTCTTGGAATAGCTAGTACACTTCTTTTGATTTTTTTTTTTTTTTTTTTTTTTTTTTTTTTTGGTAGGGGATTGAACTCAGTCAGGACCTTGTGCTTGCAAGGCAGACGGCAGCCCCAATGAGCTAAATCCCTGGCCCTACTTCCTTCTGTCTAATACATACTTTCACTGAGGATAAGCCTCGAAGAAAACATTCAAAGTAGGCTTAAATTTTCAATGACATTAAATTAGAATTTACCAACTGACTTAAAGAGAAAATTAATATTTCAAATATTACATTTTTAGTAAGAAAATTCTTTTGAAAGCTTAATGATGAGAGTTAAGCACGGGCTGCAGCCAGGAAAATGGCGGACAGAATGGTGGGAGAGGAGAAGCCTGAAAAGCCGAAGCAAGCTGGAGCCGCTGGTGTAATGGAGGGGAAAGTTCCAGTCGCAGTGCTCAAAAACAATCAGCTTTAGAAGAAGCTGCAGACCTCCCAACAAAGCCTACAAAGACCTCCAAGTTTGCATTTGCCATAGGTAGTCAGACAACAAAGAAAGCATCAGCAACATCCACCAAGCTTAGATCCAGTAAGCCTAAAGAAACTGTTCCAACTCTTGCTCCAAAAACCCTTTCAGTTGCAGCTGCTTTTAATGAAGAAGACAGTGAACCAGAGGAAATGCCTCCAGAAGCGAAGATGAGGATGTAGACTACTGGAAGGGATACACCAACATCAGCTGGACCAAACTCTTTCAATAAAGGAAAACATGGGTTTTCTGATAACCGGTAGCTATGGGAACGAAATATAAAAATCTCATCTTGGAAATGTCCGGGACAATTAAATGATGTGTTTTGAATTGGGGTGTGCGGTGGATGTAAAGTTAAAAGGAACAGTTTCCTTTTTTATAGAATGGTATAAGACTCTTTGGAGCTGCATTTTTTTCTTTAAGATTGTCTGGTACACTAATAATGAGAGTTTGAAATTAGAGGTAATTTATGTTTTATATACAGATTTCAAGACATGCTAATTTTGTAGTTTCATGTGATTAGTTTCCAAAGATTACCGATAATAAATCAGAAATGATACCTGTTTAAGAAATGCGTATTTTTTTAGACACAACTATCAGCACATTAAAAGAGGGAAGCAAAAAATTACCGTCTGTTTAAAACTGTAAGCATTTACTCCTAAATTAAGTTCCTCATTACCTAAACTGTCTGGCTCCCAGAAACAGTCTTGTAAGAGAAAGGGGGGAGTATCATAGTGCAAAGAAAATGTTGCTGGACTACTGACTGAAAGAAAATTTAGATAAAATTAAAAGTTCTTTCCTATGGGAATTTGTTTTGTTATCATATTATTAGGTACTGCATTGCTATCAGTGGATACAGATGCTTAGCTCCTTTACAAAAAGTAATTTTTAAAAAAAATTTCTATGTGATGTATCAAGTATTTGAAATAGCCCATTTCACTTTAATGGTCTTGTCTACCTTTGTTAGTCTACAAAGAACAGCCATTTGCTACCAAAGTAAATCAGTATTTCGAATGTGCTTCTCTTGGTTTTTGTTTATTAGCTAGTTTCTGTAAGCATTTCCATCAGAACTTGAGGCACATCACAAGGAAGCAGTTTCTTTTAAAATATGAACCACCACCAAAAATCTAAATGCACATACTGCTTAAGTATTTGGTTGGTTTTATTTTTTAAAAGGTATAAGCAACAACAACAACAAAATTTAACATTGTAGAAATGGAAAAAAATAAGATGCATTTTCTGTAACTTTATCTACGTTTTTACATTACTAAGTTGTTAAAATCCAATTTGAATTGAACTCGCTACAGGAATTATTAGAACAATTATATTGTGTATTTTAAGTGAATACATACTGCCCACCTGCCTCTCATAAGCATATTGTAGGTACTAAAAATAAAAGGAAAGAAAAATGCATCTTAAAACGCATTTTATGGAATTATCACATATACGTTAAGCTTTGTGTACTGCAGGGTGTTTTGTTCTGTATTTCTGTATTATATCTGAACTTTTTAAATGTGACATTTTTGTATTATATCTGAACTTTTTAAATGTGACAGTTAAACACATCTTTGAAAGCATAGTCACAGACAAAAGAAAAATGATAAACAGTGATTTCCTTCAGAATTTCTACAATGTTAAATCTGGAGGCAGCTTCAGACTATTTTATTGGTGGTAGCTACTTGCTGATCTTTTTTAATAGGTAGTAACTCCAGATTAGAAACCTGCGCATATGCCTAATAAGTTGTTCTTTTACATTAAAGTTTAGTGCCCCAAGTAAAACAATGGAAATGTATATAGAACTACTAGTTCTTACATGATTAAATTCTATCAAGATGAATGAATTTAACTTTTAACTTTTATGCAGGCAAACAATTCATTTTTGTCCATTTTACTGTTTGTTAAAGTAACGTCCCTCTTCTATACTCTTTTCTTGACCCAATTGAAATACTAACCTAAGGTCAATATGAGGAGAAAAATGACTGAGATGAATGTCTTCATTAAAATAACCAATAAATTTTGTCAGATTAAAAAAAAAAAAAAAAAGAGCTAAGCCTGGGGGTGCACACCTGAAATCCCAGCACTCTGTGAGGCTGAGACAGGACAATTCCAAGTTTAAGCCCAGCTAGCTGGACAACTTAGCAATACTCTCTGTTTCAAAATAACAAAGTTTAAGGGAGAAGGGATCCTGGAGATAGAGCTCAGTATATAAGCCCTGGTTTCAATATCTAGCCTTGCTAGAAGGGAAAGGTAAGGTGAAAAGAAGGGAGGGAAGGAAGGGAGTGATATTAACACCATAACTATAAAGAACAATAAAATAAACTGGTAAGAAAGCACAGCTGATGCCTAATTCTGTGATAAGCATTCCTCCTTCTACCAAGTGGAATACCATGTGCCATTAACAAGATCCAACTTATAGGTAATGCATGTTAACACTCCTTTAATTTTACATAAACCCATTTTACTCTTTCAACTAAACCAATTTAAAAACATACCTGAACTCTAAATCTCCAAGTTGATCCAACAGGAATACCAGGAATAGGTCCATAATGATTAGAAGGGACAATAGTACATTCTTTTGTACGGCCAACACAAGCCATGCCCTGCAAGTTACAAAACAACCTATCTGAGAAATCAATTATGTTAAATCTTAATTAAAGAATTTAATTCTCAAAGATAACACTGAAACCTATTTATATGTAATTTCTTTATTTTTATTATTATTATTATTTTTGGTACCGGGGATTGAACTCAGGTCCTTGCGCTTGCAAGGCAGGCCACCGAACCGTTGAGCTAAATCCCCGGCCCCTATATTTATATGTAATTTAAATGTCACCAATTTCCACAACTATATTATTTAATTTTTTGGCCATAACTACTACTTGCAGTAAAACTTTATATAATGTAACTTGCTACTGGGATAAAAAAAGGTGAATTTCTTCTTTACCCTGCCCCAATCTCTCCGGCTTTCAGTACTAGCTGAAGGCATCTTTGCTTTCTTTTTACTCATCTTGAGTCTTTCACCAGCCTTTACAACCTCATTGGAATCAGTTTTACAGCAAGGACAATACCTTAAAAGAAAAAAGAAAAATTTTGACAATACTGTATTCAGACTAATAACAGAATAAAAATCTTCATAGTTTAAGTGCAAGTTAAAAGATGTATATTACTTGAGGTATATTTCAGAGCTTCAGCTGGCATTAAACTTCTAAAAATATTTTTATGATTAGGCTGGGTGCAAAAACATTCCTATCATTCTTTTAGAGATTTTAAAATTATAAATCCTCAAACTGAAATCAAAAGTCAGATAAAACTGTAAGAACTGCACTATAATCTTATCACTGTGACAGAAGAAATTTTAAATTCTTACCACTGACACAAAAGTACAAATAAATGATGCTTCTTCTAGACCAAACACTGAACTAAGCAATGGATATATCTCCCTGCTAATGTGGCTTTTAGAATTCTCAGAATCGAAAATATACAGTCTCTCATAACAACTGTGCAAGATGTGAGGGATTTTGACTTCTGCTAGTGTTATTCCTATCTCTATTTTAATTCCATTTGTTATCATAAACTGTATTAAGTCCTTTGTAAAAATACAGGTATATTTCTATAGACAACATTAGGACAAAGTGCTTACAAATGTAACAAATACTGTAACACATAGATAAGGAATAATGAGTATATGTGACTACTTTTTTTTTTCTTTTTCTTTTTTCAGAGCTGAGGATTGAACCTAGGACCTAAGGTATGCTGAGCAAGTGTTCTACCACTGACTTATACTGCCAGTCCTCTTTTTCTTTTATTTTCAGACAGAACCTTGCTAAACTGTCCAGGCTGGATTCCAACTTGTAATCCTCCTGCTTCAGTGTTCTGAGCCATTGGGAATACAGGTGAACCCAGCTGAGATGAGGTTATTCTTGGTCAGTGAGGAATGGAAACTTTACCTACCAGTTAACCTGGTTGGCAATACAGAAGAGAAAAATGTAGATAGTTCCATCCCTGAAGATGCCAAAATTATGTCTGAAAAGGCATCAAATACAGCAATTTAAAAATCCTTTCTACTGGGTAAGGTTGTGCAGGTCTATATCCCAGCTCCCTGGGAGGCTGAGGAAGGAGGACTATTAAGTTTGAGGCCAATTTCGGCGATTCAGTGAGCTCCACCTCTAAGTGAAAAGGGCAGGTGGTATACTTCACAGGTAGAGCACTTGCCTAGCATGAACATGGATCTGAACTTAACTCTGAGTCACTCCTCAAAGCAAAAACAAATAAATCTTCTACTTGGGAAGTTATGAAAGCTTCTGAAAGTTAACTTGTTCTCAACAGAGTATATTTTAACTTATATACGCACCTTCATAATTATAATTACATTAAAGAGTGTGATTAAAGCCAAGTACTACCTGTCTGATGAGAAAATGATTTCAAAGATTAAATACCCAGATATGATTTGAAGAAAGAGAAAAGATGACTTAAAGTCAAGGTGTTCCAGGTGGAATGAAGCATCGTGATATGAATTTAGAGATATTCCACAGAGTAATGTAAGACTATCCGCCTAAGAGCACACCTGGAAATGGTTCCTTTAAAAGTTTGGAAGGCGTTAATTGGTGCTGGGGACAAATACTTGTGATGAAAATGCTTACACACTGTACGTAAGGTAAAGTTATTATGTACAAGGAAAGAACTTTACATAATGTGAAGTACTATAATGTAAATTAAATAAATCAGCATTATGTGAAAAGAGCAACTAGAAATGGTATGTTTCTTAAACATAGACAAGAAAAGCACTCCAGTCAAGGGAACAGTTAAGTATAAAGGTCCCGAGGCACAAAAAGAACTGCTAAGTGTGCTGGGGATTTAGCTCAGTGGCACTGCGCCTGCCTTGCGAGCGCGAGGTCCTGAGTCTGATCCCCAGTACCAGAAAAAACAACAACAAAAATGAAATCATTAAGTGTATAGGAATATAAATACAAATATAATTGAAGTTTAGTAAGTAAGCAGACTGAAGGTTAATAAGCAAACAGGCTGGTGATAAGCAACAGAGTTAAAAGAAGAGATAAGAACCAGACCCATAATAAATACTAACCATTTGATTTTATTCTAAGCATAACACAAAAATAGTAGGGGCTTTAAACAGACAAGTGAACTTGATTCGGGACTTAGCAACATCATCCTTTCGTTATAGGGGGAAGAGCAGCCAGTGAGTAGCGTGGAAACAAAGAGAAGAGTATGTATTACAGAAGCTTGGGTAAGAGATAGTAGTTTGGATTCAAGTGTAAAAATGGAGAGTTTATGGAACATTAACAAGTTTGATGATGTATTACAGTTGGAACAGGTAAAGGGACTAAGGAAGAAAAAAAAAAGATGAGTTTAGCTTTTTGGCATGAACAACGTGATATGACCTTATTTACCAGAGGCTGGAAGAGGAACAGGATTTTATAAGTGATTGTGAAAATCAAGAGCTCCATATGGGCTGACTTTGGGATACTGGTCAAGTAAGCAAATGCATATAAAAGTATAAAGCTCAGGAGAGATTAGATTTTAAGGCAAAAATTCAAAATAATACATTAGTATTTAAAGTGTCATGACTAGGTGAAGTCATTAAACATGAAAACAAAACAGGGAGTGCTTTAGGGATACTGAAACTTGGTTAGTGAGGCAAAAACACTAGTATGGCCAGAGAAGCAGGTGAAAAATTACGATCATATAAAATCTAAAGAAACAGAAAGCAGGTGAGCAGTTTAGTAAGTAAAGGACTGACAGGCGATCACTGGATTTGAAAACACTCTAAGTTACCTATAGGCTCTACATAAGCACATAATGAGTCAGGCTAAGGAAAGCCAGACTGGGGTGCTGAGGTATAAATAGGAGGAAAAGAAATGGGAATAATTGGTGGAGGTAGCTTTTGAGCAGGTTGGCCATGCAGGGAGCAGGGAAGCAGTTGGTGGGAGAAATGGAAACAAGGGAAGTTTGTGTTTTGAAACTTCAAGAGATTCTAGGATGGTAGTCAACACCGATCTAGTAATGGCAAATTGGAAAAGGAATTACCTGCAGGACCAAATTCTAATTTTAAGGCCATGAGAAATGTTTGCATCTGTAACTTTAAAGGAAGTATGATTTCTACCATGGAAAAATTCAGTGTGACCATGCAGGTGAGTAGTAAAGGTGCCAAGAAGTAGTTATATCCCTTCCCCCTTTCTCTCACCCTTACAGCCTCCGATGTAATACAGCAACCAACCACCTAACAGGCCGAGAAGAAGGCAAAGGAAATAAGGACAATCTATTCTTTACATTGGTATCAGCTACCCACTTCTTACATTATTATTTCCACGTAAGTCGTACATCTTTAAAACACTCGATGGCAGCAATTTGTCACATGGTTTAAAAAGGGAAAAATAGTATTCCTTAATATGGTATTTAATGTTCATTAAACTTTGGGCACATTTTCCCAGTCTTGCTTCTAGAAGTTTGTTGTCACTGTGCTCGTTTTTCAGTGGCTAAGACTATGCAGAGAAATTTAGATTTCTGACCAATATTTGGCCTTGGAGCTTTGGCCTATTCATCAATGTTATAGGATTAGAAATAACAATACATGTAAGCACTCTATCAAAGACTATCATATAATATATACTCAATAATAATGAGGGGCTGGGGATTTAGCTCAGGGTGAAAGGTCCTGAGTTCAATTCCCCATACAAAAAAATTATAATGAATACTATTACAGAATATAACAGGAACATCTAACATAGTGTGTGTGTGCGCGTGTGGGGAGTGTCATCCAGAAAGGCTTATGAAGAAAGTTACTTTTAAATGAGAAGCTGAAGAATGAGTAGCATCTCGAAGCTAAACATAAGAGGAAAATGCTTCCAAGGAAAAAATCTATCAAGTGTAAAAAGTCAGAAGAAAAAGAACATGATTTGCTTCAGGAGTTGAAAGACATTTAATCTGGCTAGATTGTTGATGAGATCTAGCTGGAGAAAGACCTAAAGTATATGTAGGAAACTACCAAAAAAAAAATATGCAGGATTCTGTAAAGCAACATAAAACCTTGAACCAAAAGAGTAACAGTCATATTTACATTTGAAAAACTATATTAGAAAATGGATGATAAGGACTGAACTAGCGAACACTTCAGAAGTTGTTACTGTAATTAGATAGTTATCAATGCCAAGTAACCACTAGATGTACCATTATAAGCACTTTAATACATATAATGTATTTTTAGAACTTTGTTTTTGGTGATCAAATACACATTTCACATTTGATTCTCCATAAAATGAGAAAAACAAACAAAACCCTCATGATCCTACCAGTATTCTTCTTCTGGGATTTTATCCAAGGGTGGATTCAAACAGTAGATATGATACGCCATATTACATTCATCGCAAAGAAGCTGCATGTTGGGGTCACGTTTCTCACCACATTTATGACAAGAGCACGTATGACATTTCTTATCTGGGTCTCCACCACACAGGTCACATTCAGGGTCATTCTTCCCTGTTAAAAACAAAATTATAACAACTCTGATCTTAAAATAATGTTTATATTTATTAGTCTCATAAGGAAAAATCTACAAAAACAGCATATAGCTTTTTTTAAAATAAGGAACCAAAAACAATAATCAAGTGAGAAAATTAAAACATGACTAAGCCTTATCCCAAGCTTATTAAATTAGAATTACAGGGATGCAGCTCAGGTCTATGCAGTGAAAAAATCCAATGGCAGCAAATGTGAATATATACTTTTGCCTTAAAAGCTGTATTATATAGACACACCCCTCTCTTTAGAGTTCCCCACATTGCACCGTGATACTCAAGGGCAGTGTTGTGAACTTAGGGCACCACTAGATATTCTAAAATTTCAAGGGAAATATAATTTGTTGAATAAAGGTATGCAGTAAAAGTAATTTCTTTTTGCTTCTTTTGGCTTTTGAGGTACCACGAAAACATTACTGAGACATTAATATGGTTCAATGAACTAGGAAAGATTGAGTAACTCTGTACAAGACCTTAGAAAAATAACCTTATAATCTTTCCACTCAGAGTATAAAGTAACACTTTGGGTTTTATTCCTATTAAAACAAAATTAATACTATTGATAAGAATATAGAGAAAACGGCACAGTGATGGTGAGAATGCAAATAGATAATCATTTGAAAGACCATTTGACAACTGTCAGAAAAAGTTAGGTTCTTTTATTGAAAGGTATTTTTTTTTCTTCCTATTGTTACACTGAAAATAAATTGATGTGGTCTATAGTTTTAAGACTTCCAAGTTATTCACTCGTCAATAAATAACAAAGTTTCATCATGTATATCACATTAAGTCAAAGCTTTTAAAAATTCCATACTTAAAAACTTTCCATCTGCAAATGAAAGAGGATGGGCTCCAGGCTTCTCAATCTTGAAGATTTCTTCTACAAATATTACCCTGCAGTCATTTAATGTTCCCTCTGAACCTCTGTTTAAAAAAGGTAGAAAAGTTAATTAACATCTAAAGCAAAATCTACACAATGTCAAATACTAATTAGAAGTCAGGTTGGAAATTCATCAAATTATACACTTACAAACAAACTGGGATTACATCTATGCCAATCTTCTTAATTTTTTTTTTTTTTAACATAAGGTCTCACTATGTGGTCAGGCTGACCTTTAATTCACAATCCTCCTGCCTCAGCCACCCAAGTGCAAGGATTACAGACATTTGCCATCATACCTAGCTATCATAGCAGGGAGAGTTAAAAAAAATTACTTAACATTCAAAGTTAGGTACAGATTTATAGGATCAGAAAAGAAAATGCACAGGAGGCTTCATTTCTTAGATTATCTGGCAATAAACAGCCTAAATATTGCATAAAATGGTACCCTATTAAAATGGAAAAGTCAAACATATTTCCAATAAATACAGAGGACTTCTAGCCCCCTCTCCCCCAAGACCATTTCTTAAAACCAGTCTTGACAGACATGGCAGAGCACACCAGTAACCCCAGAACTCTGGGCGGCTGAAGCAGGAGAGTCCAAGTTTGAGTTCAGCCTGGGCAACTAAGCAAGGACATGTCAAAACTGAAAAAGAACTAGGGTATAGCTCAGCGCAAAGGCCCTGGATTCAATTCCCAGTGCCAAAGCCACAGGGTATGTGGGGTGAGAGGGATGAGGAAAGGGAGCGAGAAGGGGACTTTCAAATACAAAGTCGCAGTTGTTACTCTCAATTTATATCTATTTGCAAATATGTAACTTTTCTACCATGATAGGGCTTGTGTATTTGTCCTTCAGCTGTGAGCTTCTGCTGTACATTTTGAAGGTACATTAGATGTGCACAGATTACACTATTTTATGAAATATATCTATCTCCTGTAATATTGTGTATCAACTTTTTTTGCTGTTGTGGAGACTTTTCCCCTTCTACCATTTCTTTTAAAACTTTTGCTGGGCGTGGTGGCGCACGCCTGTAATCCCAACACTACGGAGGCTGAGGCAAGAGGATCGCTAAGATCGAGACCAGCCTGGCCTACCTAGTGAGTTCCAGGTCAGTCTCAGCTACATAGTGAGACCCTGTCTCAAAAAAAAAAAAAAAAAAAAAAAAGTCAAATACCCAAATAAAGAATGCTACATAAATGGATAGTTTAACCAACTATAGGTACACATCTTTTGAGACGAGGAGCCATGATGGAAAGCATAACAATCAAATGCCCCAGAAGCCCTTGACAGGTCCCTCCCAATGACAACTTCTTCATAAACTCCTGAAAGTCATGTTTACCTAACTTTTCTTCTGTAATCACCTGTCTACCTCCATAAGCATAAGGAATAATCTTGTGTTTTAAAAGTCTATCTAAACATTCCTAGATCATTTCTTTCTTCCTGGCAATTTGTTCAAGAATTCCAACCACTAGCGCAGATTTCTTAGTCTTGATTAAGGTAGCTGCATTTCCAGTGTGATTAAAACAGCCTTTTTTGGTCATCTGTATTCCCTGTAAAACTGGCAAGTACATACTAACATTTTCTGTACAAATTTAAGAGCAATGGATACATATATAATTTGCACATTGGTCTTAAATTACTAGTCATTATATACTACTATACTTTCTTCTTTATGTCCCTCAATTATCTGTTGGGAATTGAATACAGGGCCTCCAGAATTCTAGTCAAGCATTCCTCCACTGAGCTACACCCCTCCCCAAGTCCTAGTTCTAACCGCAGAAATATTATGTTTGTCACCTTTCTTTATATCAAATTGTTTACTCATCTTGGTTGCCCAAACTGAGTTGAGATCTCTCAGTAAAGATTCATAAAAACACTATCTCAGTTTTTATGTCTTAATAATGGTTTATTTATATACCCTTTACACTAGAGACTAGATTGGCTAGATATAAAATCTTTGGCTTGCCTCTTGACTCATGCTTACCTTTCTGAATGCTTCCTTACTGGAAACGTTATCTTGTTCCCTATTTTTTCTCTCTGCCACCTTTGTATGTAATTTGCTATTAATCTTTTCCTTTTGCTCACTTTTAAAACAAACTTCCTGAACTTTTAGACACTAAGATTTACTTTGCTTTTTTCAAAGTTTATATCCACAGAGATCCTTTTAAGTGTTCAAAAATTTGTCAGCTAAAATCTAACCAGATAGAAAGCACATCAGTGGTTGCCTGGGGCCAATGAGGTGGTGGGAATGACTGTAAGTGGGGCCTGTAAAAACTTTTGGGGACGATGAAAATGTTCTTAAATACAATGCTGGTATGAATGCATACCTTGCTCAATGTTCACTGGATTAAACACTTAAAAATCAATTCACAAAGTCTAACCTCACTATCTACCATGGGTTAGTCACAGGATGCCTTTACCCCTTATGAAGATCCAGATGCTCAAATCCCTTATATAAAAATATTAATTTTTCATCTACATATAACCTGTATATATCCTCCCAATATTTATATGTTCAGACTTATAATACTTAATATAGTGTGAATGTAAATAGTTGTCATTCTGTATTGGGGAGTAGGAGAAGGTCTACACTGGGAGCTTCTTTAAAAGTAACTTTAATTCATAGTTGGCCTTCATTACTATATATTATTCCTCAAAATGATTTTTTAGAAGATTATCATTGTTTTCTGAGGTTTCTTCTTCTGTAGTTCTTCATTCCCCTATTCTGTTTTTAACTGGATGTTTGTCTCTCAATCTGGATTCTGTTCACACTGGTTTGTTCTCAATACAAGGATTTGGAATGCACCTTTAGCTGACTTGAGAGTTTATAGGGCTCCAGTTCCATCAGAACTTACTGAAAATGGTTTCTGCCAATCCAATTTCAGATGTAGACGCCTACCTTTGCTGCTGTTCCTCATCTATTGCTACATTAAAAAAAAAAAAAATCAAACCTAGAAGCCTACAATAAAATTACCTTGCTTTCCGTGGGTCAGAGTTTAGCTTAATAGTTCTGACTTAAGATCTTTTATGCGACTGCAGTCAAGCTCCTGGCCAGAGTAGCTGGCTCATTTGACAGGTCCACTTGGGAAGTATCAACAGGCTACCTAAATAGCCTCACGGCACATGACTTCCTCCAAAGAAACAGACCCAAGAGTAACTGAAACAGATGATGCTACCTTTTTATATAACCAAACCTCAAGGTGTTATACTACCACTTTTGCTATATTCTACTTATAAAATACTGGCGGAACTGCTAACAGTACTAGAAAGAAATCATTGGGGATTATTTTTAAGAGAGCTATCTTAACTACTAGTTTCTTTTCTTGGGAGTTCTTGAGCCCACCCATTGTACATTCTACAGCTACTTTCACTTCCTCTTACACAACCAGTGATACCACAGGGCTGGCAGCTTCCTGGTGCTCCCAGCTTTTTGGAATTTGTGGGGCACATCATAGCACATCGTTTGTTGTAGATGATATCTTAGTTGCTTTATGTTTTTATATGGGCATTTGAGAGTAAGTCCAGGATGCCGCCAACTTCCTACAATTCCCATTATCCTTCATTTCTCCTTGTAGAACTACTTGTTTTTTAAAACAGGATATAAGGATAAAAGACAGGATGATTTCAGCCTGCCTTTACATGCATGTTGATCTTCAGCCTCCCAAATAGTGGGATTACAAGCATGGACCACCACACCTAGCTTGTGACTTTAAGTATTCTTTTGTGTAAGCTGTTTCAGGATCACTGTTATAATCTAGTTGGTTCATCTGAGTTTTTAGACTATTTAATTCATATACAGCGAATATAATGGCTGTTGAATCTGATTCTAATATTATTAAATGTTTTCTATTTTATCTAACATCTTACTATATATTTTCTATTTTATCCTTTCTACTCTTTTTATCTATTAAATTTAGTGGTACATTTTACACATACAATACAGTTACATTCATCATTGGGATCTTGTACCTATACTTGATTTATCAGATTCATATCTTTCCCCATTCCCCAGGCCTCCCTTCAGCCCCTCCACCCTTCCCTGTTTACAAAGACATTGTTCCCATATTTTTCTCCATTTCACATATTTCTTTTCCTCTTAACCTTTTCCGTACCCCTCCCACTTCTCTACTCTTTTAGATTTTTCTTCCTATTACACACTATCAATTATATATTTTAATCCTCATTTACACTTTTACTTTTTCACACCAGCAAAAACATTTGTTATTTACACGTGACTTATTAATCACTTAACAGTATAGCCTCACTGTGCATCCATTTAGCTATAACTCTCTCATTTGTTCTCTATGGCTGAGTAGTATATTCCATTTTATTAAAAAACCACATCTTTATCCAGTCTCCAGGTGATGGGCAATTAGGCTGTTTCTAAGTTTTTGCTATTACAAACTGTGCCACTACAAACATGGGCAAGCATGTATCACTGTGGTATGATTCTTTTAATTCTTTGGAAAGATACCCAGCAAGGCAATAGCTGGGTCAAATGGGACTTCCAATCCTAGTTCTTTGAGGTATCGACATATTGATTTCCACAGTGGTCGCACCAGTCTGCACTCCCATCAACAATGAAGAAGGGTTGCTATTTCCCCACAACCCCACCAGCATTTGTTATTGATATCTTGAAAGCAGTCATTTTTACTGGGGTGAGATGGAATCTCAGTGTTGTTTTAATATGCATCTCTCGAACGACCAATGATGTTGAACGCTTTTTCATACAATTATTTACTGCTTTTACTTCTTTGTCTGAGAAATGTCTGCTCATTTCAGATGCCCATTTTTGAATTGGGTCTTTGTATTTGGGGGAGTGTTTTTTAAAATTCTTTATATATTCTAGATAGTAGACCTTTGTCTGAGGAACAACTGGTAAAACTTTTCCCATGTCGTGGGTTGTCTCTTAGCTCTGCTTATGATTTCTCTTGCATTGCAGAAGTTTTTGAAAAAGATGAGACACCACTTGTTGATTCTTTGCGCTAGTTCCCACACTGCTCAGGGTTTATTCAGTCTTTTCCTATGCTGATATCTTTAAGA